GGAAAATGTAAATAGATTCCCCACTTACGCTGTACATAACAATAAATTCATTTGGATAGAAAATAAAATGTGAAAAAATAAAATCACGATGAATTAGAAAGAAAATAGAGATGTCTACCTGATCTCAGAATGGGTAACGCCTTTCAAAGCCTAAAAGAAGAGGCTGAAAATACAAAGGGTTAAAAAATCAAAGGCATTTCTGTACACCAACAATGAAACAGCAGAAGCAGAGATCAAGGAAAAAATCCCATTTGAAATAGCAAAAAGAAAAATAAAATACCTAGGAATAAACCTAACCAAAGAGGTAAAAGACCTGTATTCAGAAAACTACACAACACTGAAGAAAGAAATCAAGGAAGACACAAACAAATGGAAACATATACCGTGTTCATGGATTGGAAAAATTAATATCATCAAAATGTCCACACTACCCAAAGCAATTTACACATTCAGTGCAATTCCTATTAAAGTACCAATGGCATATTTCACAGACATAGAACAAACACTTCAAAAAATTTATATGTAATTATAAACGACCCCGAATAGCTGCTGCAATTTTGAGAAAGAAGAGTAAAGTAGGAGGGATCACAATACCCGACACTAAACTATACTGCAAGGCCACTGTAATCAAAACAGCCTGGTACTGGCATAAAAACAGGCACATAGACCAATGGAACAGAACAAAGAGCCCAGAAATAAGCCCAAGTCTCTATGGTCAACTAATATGTGACAAAGGAGGCAGCAACATAAAATGGAGTAAAAATAGCCTCTTCAACAAATGGTGTTGGGAGAACTGGATAGCCACGTGCAAAAAAATGAAACTTGAGCACCAACTTACACCATATACAAAAATAAATTCAAGGTGGATAAAAGACTTAAATATAAAACATGACACCATTGAAGTCCTAGAGGAGAACGTAGGTAGGAAAATCTCAGATATTTCACGCAGAAACTTTTTTACTGACTTGTCCCCTAGAGCAAGGGACATAAAGGAAAGAATAAACAAATGGGACCTCATCAAAATTAAAAGCTTCTGCACAGCTAAAGAAAACAGCATCAAAATTAAAAGAGAATCAACTGTATGGGAAAACATATTTGCCAATGATACCTCAGACAAGGGTTTAATCTCCAAAATATATAAAGAACTTACAAGACTGCACTCTAAGACAAGGAATCCAATTAAAAAGTGGGCAAAGGACTTGAACAGACACTTATCCAAGGAGGACATACAGAAAATCCAAAGACACATGAAACGATGTTCAATATCACTAGCTATCAGAGAGATGCAAATTAAAACCACAATGAGATACCACTTCACACCAGACAGAATGGCCATCATAAACAAAGCAACAAACAACAAGTGTTGGAGAGGTTGTGGAGAAAAAGGATCCCTAGTGCACTGCTGGTGGGACTGCAGACTGGTACAACCACTATGGAAAGCAGTATGGAACTTCCTCAGAAAACTAAAAAATGGATCTGCCTTTTTGACCCTGCGATTCCACTGCTGGGACTCTATCCTAAGAATACTAAAACACCAATTCCAAAGAACCTATGCATCCCAATGTTCATAGCAGCACAATTTACAATAGCTAGGTGCTGGAAGCAACCAAGATGCCCATCAGTAAATGAATGGATCAAAAAACTATGGTACATTTACACAATGGAATTCTATGTAGCAGAAAGAAAGAAGGAGCTCCTACCCTTTGCAACAGCGTGGATGGAGCTGGAAAACATTATGCTAAGCAAAACAAGCCAGGCAGTGAAAGACAAATACCATATGATCTCACCTTTAACAGGAACCTAAATAACAAAACGAAGAAACAAGCAAAATATAACCAAAGACACTGAAATAGAGGTCAGGCTGACAGTGCCCACAGAAGAGAGTAGAGGGAATTTAAGGGGACAGTGGGAAGGGTTCACGGGAACAAACTTAAAGGACACAAGGTCATAAACTAAGGGGAGGGTGGTAATGGGAGGGAAGTGGGGAGGGATGGAAGGGGGGGCTGGATTGGGAGTAAAAAAGAGAAAACTGTATTTGAACAATGATTAAAATAAAATTTAAAAAAAAAGAAAAGAAAAAAGAAATTCTACAAAATTAAAATGCAAATTAAAAGCTGGAAAAACATTTACAAATTATAAGACAAAAAGTAATAGCCATAACATATAAAGAGCTCTTTTAACACTAAAAGTGAAAACTGCACACTTCAGTATAAGGATGAACAGAGGATAAGGCAATAAACACACTTTAAACTGAATCAATGGGGTGGAGGTGGGGACACTTCACAGAAGTAACCAGCAAATGGAATGAAAGGACCCAGTCCAAACCCAGATTCAAGCGAACCAACTTTAAAACAACACTTTGAGATAATTCATAAAATTGAATATAAACTGGGTAGTAGGTAATAATAAGGCAATTGTATCAATTTGAAAGGCATGATGCTGATATGGTAGTTATATTAAAAAACATCCTATTTTTAAGAGATGTATGCTGAAGAATCTAGGATAAAATGCCAGTACATCTCTAATTTACTTTAAAATACTACAGCCAAAAAGACAAAAATGAACCAACTCTGGAATAATGTTAATTATCAAATAGGTAAAACATAATAATTTTTTCCCTACAGATAAATCCAACAAATGCCAAGGCGCAACAGAAACCAGTGATCTCGGCCATTGCGGTTGGGAAGGTAAATTGGTAGCACTTTTCTGGAGGGTGATCTGACAGTATGAACTGCATCACAAACCTTGAAAAATGTTTAAACCCAGCAAGTCCATGTTCGATAATTTATCTCAAGTAAATTTAAAACAGTGGGCACAAAGATTTTAACACTTTCAAGGCTATCAGTATTTTTTGTGATTGTTAAATACTGAAATCTACCCAAATATTCATTTTTTTCACACAGCCATCTGATAGACTAGTACCAGGCAGTCATCAAAAACCGAATTTCAGAAGAAAAATTAAAGCTATATTGATATATTTTATGGTGCAGCAGCTATGAAAACAGTATAGTGGTTCTTCAAAAAATTGAAAATAGAAATAGCACATTAGTAATTAGTATTAGTAAACAAATAGTAATTCCGTTTCTAGGTATGTATCCAAAAGAATTGACAGCAGGAAGTTACAGAGATATTTGTACACCCATGTTCAAAACAGCACTATGTACAACAGGCAAAGGGTAGAAGCAACCCAAGGGTCTTTGGATGGACGAATAAACAAAATGTTCATACCATGGAACGTTATTCAGCCTTTAAAAAGGAGATCCCGATACCTGCTACAACATGAATGAGCCTAGAGGACATTATGCTAAGTGAAATGAGCATGTCACAAAAAGGCAAATACTGCATGACTCCACTTGTACAAGGTACCTAGAGGAGTCTGAGTCAGAGGCAGAAAGCAGAATAATGGGGGGCTGAGAAAAGGGAGGGGAAGGGGAGTTGGTATTTAATGGGTACAGAGTTTGAGTTTGGGAAACAAAAAGCTCTGAAGATGGATGGCGGTGAAGGCTGCATGTAATGTGAATGTACCTCATGCCACTAAACTGTGCACTTAAAAATGGTTAAGACGATACATTTGACATTATGTATACTTTATAATAATTAAAAATAAAGATACTTGATACATTTTCAATAGAAAAAGGCATGGTTGCAAAATACCATTTGTCTATGATCTCAATTTTGTTTCACTGATGCCTTAAATATCAATATACAATTGCACACAGGAAAAAAGTTCAGGAGGGTATATATCAAAATGCTAATAATTATCACTAGGTGCTGGGCTTGCAGAAGAATTTTATTTTCTTCGTGTGTCTGGGTGCTTTTCTGTAATTCCCAGGTGTTCTACAGTTACTTTTATAATCAAAAGAAAAAGTATGCTGACTGGACAAGCACAGAAGGAAAGAAAAGGACGCTCATCCTGTGAGCCGACTTGAATCAGCAAGCCGCTGACCCGAATGCGAGAACACGCACAAATATGTTTCCAAATGACATAATGAATGTAATCCGCTTTAAGAATCAAATCATAAAAGGGAGCCTAAAGTTTGGGATAATAAAGACCAGCTCGGAAAACTGAGCATCAGGGAGTTCCCTGCAGAACTAAAACAGAGACATAAGCCTAGTTTTGAGCCATTCCCACAGCCAGGGTGAGCTTACCACATCTCTGTGTGCCCGGCAGAAAGGACAGGGCCTCAGAAAGGACTCAAATCAATGCAGCGTTCTCCCTGGGACTCAACACACCCCACCCCCACACCTCTCTTTAGCTACATCCACTTTCAGAAAATATTTTCTAGACAGCAGCCTTCAAGAGAAAAAGGAGCCTTTCTTTCTGTGGCATTCCCTCGCCACATATGGAACTGCTATGAATAGAGGCTTTTATGAGAGAGGGTTCAGATACCACAGCCACGGTTATGCCACCGACCACAAACAACAATAAATAGATGTTAAGGTTTAGAATTCCATGCAGCAGAGGCACCCTGAATAATTATGATAGAGCTTCCATCCCATTCTAACATCCAATAAATGTTTATTGAGTGCCTACTAAGCACAGGGCAATATTTGTAACACCATCCCACATGCACACAAACACGCACACGCGTGCACACAGTTCCTTTTGTTCTGTTCCAGGACCCAGACTAGGAAAGTGATGGTGTTGGCTGGAGGCATTTGACAGTTTGATTCTACATGTCCCATCTCTCCTGGACTAGAAAAAGAGGGGCAGAGGCAGAGGAAAAGCAATGACCTTACGAAGGATCAAGAGGACACATCACTGTACCCCACCACTACAGCCCCGGGGAAAAGGGGCTGAATTCAGCAGGAAGAAAGAAGTGCTCAGCCTTTCTAAAACTCCACACAGCATCCAAGGGGAGCAGAGTCACTGCAGCCCCCAGTCCTGGAGGAAACGGCATCACCGGGTTTATCGGCCCTGCTAAGAGAAATCATGACTCCGAATTCTTCTCCCCACCCACATAAATGAACCACATCAGCCACCCCTTCCTCATACGTACTTTTGCCCCCATTGTTCTTCAGGACATTGGAGAGGTTGACAGAGGCGGTGCCTAGCAGTTCATTTCTTAAGGTATGGCAGCTCCAGACCTTCAAATCTAAATGACTCTGGGCCGTGACATTCCTGGAAAAAAAATACTTGATTCATCACATCCAAGCAAATCAGACACCCTTATCGCTTAGAAGAAAACAGATGTTGCTAACAACTGGAAGGGGGAAAGAAAACCCCAAACAGGAAGGTGCTCACATGACCCCTTCCCCCACCCTCAAAGCTGACCCTGTAACCATCTAGCTAATAATGAACACTCTATGAGCTCAATCAAGTAAGTGGAAACACTTAGAGAGAGGCAACATGTCAGGTACCAAGGGCAGAAGAGTTTAAGGCTCCACAGGACACCTGGATCTCCTACAACCCCCTTGGAGCGCCTTCTCTCTTTCCCCCATGTTACTGCATTCAAAGAGAAGGGATTCTCTCTTACAAAATGATGATCTCATTCCAGAGAAGCTCGGAGCTCCCAATTCGCTTCCCAGTCTTCTTGGTCTCACTGGGGAGTCCATCCACTGCCACTTCCACAAATGAGTTAATTCGATGTTGGCGATTGTGCACCTTGGGCTTTGCTGACACCACTGGATGGGAAAGAAAGAAGTGAAGGATGAGGCGGAGGGCTCCTAGCTGCCCCCCTGTGGCAGATGGTCTCACTCTTTTTAGCTGTTTCTTTTAAAAAATAAATTTTGTTTTTTCCTGATTCTAAGAAAACTTATTTTTAAAAATGTGAGGGCATTAAAAAATATGAAGCATAAGAAATAAAAATCACTCCTACCTAAAAACAAGACACTGGTAAATCCAGACTTTCAGACATTCATCTTTTATATTTCTAATTCTTTCTTTAAAAACTCTTCTCCTCCCAAAATACATTGTAAAAGGTTGTAATATAAGCCCATTATAAGAATATGCCATAATTTAGTTAACTGTTCTTTCACTGATGAATAGATTGCTTCCGATTTTTTGCTCTGGGAAAATTACCACAAATGTATATAGAGTATTTGCTTGCATTTCAAGTATTCTTCCAAAGGATATGGACATTTTTAAAATGTTCATATTTTAAAAATTCTTAAAACTGCTTAATTTCCTTTCCAAAAAGGGTAAACCTATGTAAATGTCCATGAAAGCTGTAAGAATATCTCCATTTCACCCAACACTGTATTACACTGAGTCCACTGTTTTTTCATTCTTTGTAAATATGATATAGGTAAAAAAAATTGGTATAAAGATAATAGCTGTGATTTAATGAGCACTTCTTTTACAGATACTATGCTAAGCACACATTCTCTAACTGAACCCTCACAATGAACCCCTGAGGCAGGGAATCTATTTCATCCAGGAGGAAACAGGCTTGAGGAAGCCAGGTCCCTGCCCCAGGCCACACAGCCAGGGAGCTTTGGGCCAGGATGTGCCACTGGGCAGTCTGACTACACCATGCTGTATGCCATTACCAGACTTTGCTTATTTGTTCTAATGCTTTTCTTAAATTACTAGTGAGACTGAATGTTTTTCCATGTGTTTGTTAACCATCTGCATTTCCTCTTCATGTGGCAGCGTTTCTGATGTTCACTTGGCACCAGCGAGCCAGGGACTCAGCACAAGCTAAGCAAGCACTTGCAGGAGACTAGACAAGCTCCTCTTAGAGCACATGTCAGCCAGGTCGCTGCGATGAAACACATCTAAGTGGCTTCAATCCAATGCCCCAAGTCAGAACATATTACTGACATGCCTAACCCACGATGGCAGGACTATCCTAGCCTGAGCTCCTCCGTGTCAAGGATTGGCAAACCTCTCCCTCCCAGACCCTTTTGAGAGGTGACAGTCCTATAAGGGTCCACAATTTGGCAAACAACCAACCCACCTCTGGATTGTTTTTAGCAATAGCTCTCCTCTCCAGGCCCAAAAGAAGAGTAGAGAAAATTCAAAGGACAAAAAAATAAGTTGTGGCTAGGATTCAGGAACAACAAAGGATGGTACCAGAAAAAAAAGGCTGGGTATAGGAAATGTGGCCCAGAGTAGAAAAATACTGTCCAGATAAATCAAGGTTAACTGAGGCCACCTTGTGGTACAAGAGTAGCTCTGCATGCAAGCTCTTAAAAAAAAAAAGTCAGGGGTGGATTAATGATAATGAGTCCTAATAATTTTGACCTAGACAGTTTCCTTGAAATCAACAAGTTCAAACCCTTTATTTAATAGTTTGGCCAACTAAGATACAGGGAGGTAAAATGACAAAATCCTAGAACTAGTTGGAGCCAGAGCTAAGCCCCAAGTTGAGCCTCCCTGCTCCCAGCCCAGTTCTTTGAACTCTGCCATGATGCTTCCTTTCCTGTCCTCTAGCTTTTCCCCCTATCTTTTTTCCTATGTTTTCCCTTTTTTAAATTTTTACATAATTTCAGCAAGGTTTTTAAAAACGTTTCAAGAATAATATAAAGAATTCCTGCCCTGGCTGGCGTAGCTCAGTGGATTGAGCGCGGGCTGGGAACCAAAGTGTCCCAGGTTCGATTCCCAGCCAGGGTACATTCCTGGGTTGCAGGCCATAACCCCAGCAACCGCACATTGATGTTTCTCTCTCCCTCTCCCCCTCTCTCTCTCTCTCTCTCTCTCTCTCTCTCTCTCTCTCTCTCTCTCTCTCTCTCTCCCTCTCCCTCTCCCTCCCTAAAAATAAATAAATAAAATCTTAAAAAAAAAAAAAAAAAGAATTCCTATAAACTTTCCACACACCAACTGTTTTACTATATTTGCTTTATTATTCTGTTTCTCTCCCCTGACTTTCTCTCATACACATACACATTTTTTTCCTGAAACTTTGGGAGCGAGTTGTAGATGCTGTGTCCCTTTACCCCTAAATAGTTTGGTGCATATTTCTAAGAATAAAGATATTTTCTAATATAACTGTAGTATAATGTCAACATTGGGAAATTTTGTATTCTTTAACACTATTATCTAATGTACAGATCTTATTCAAACTTTGCCAATTGTCCCATCAAAGTTCATTATAGAAAAAGAGAAAAGAGAGTTTTTTGGTCCAATCTAGGATCACAGGTTGCAGTTAGTAATCTTATTTTGAAGTTCCCAATCTATAGAAAAGTTGAAAGAATAGAATAAATAATTGCCTGCTCTTCACCAATAGTTACCATTTTGCCATGTTTGCTTTTTCCCCGCTCTATGTTAAATCAATGCTAGTCAGGAGCACCTTCTGTGATAACGAAAATGGTCTGCAGCAGTGCTGTCCAGTGCACTGCCATGACTCATGTGGCAACTGAGCACTGGAAATATAGCTAGTGCAACTGAGGATTTGAATTATCGACTTAATTTAATTAATTTATTTTTAATGTAAATAGTTCTATGGGGCTATATGGCTACCTTGTTGGAATGCACAAGATAAAAACACATGATATTTTATGTCTAGATTTGTGTGTGTGTGTGTGTGTGTGTGTGTGTATCTATATCTACACACTTTTTTCTGTAAAATCTTTTGAAAGTAAATTGCAGACTCATGAGATCAGCCCCAAATACTTTCAGAATGCAACTCCTAAGAATAAAGACATTCTCCCTCCTAAGCACACCATCACTATACCTAAAAAAATCAATTATTTTATCAACTCTAATATTCATTCCATATCCAAATGTCTTCAAATTGTTCCAAACACATTTTTATAGCTGTTTTCCCCCAATCTAGGATCCAATCAAGATGAGCACAATGCATTTGATTGTTACCTCCCTAACCTTTGAAAATGTAGAATGCTCTCCCTGCTTTTCCCAATGACAGTGATTTTTAAAGACTTCTACCAGCTGTCATCTAGAAATATGCCACATTCTGCACATTTCTGACTTTCTCATGATCACATTCACATTGAACGTATTTGCCAAGAATGTTCACATTGAACATACCACATAGGTTACGTTGTATACTTATGCACACACTAGCCTGCCCTGCTGAGGATGCTAAATCTAATCCCTCGGGTAAAGTGGGGTCTTCCAGTCTCTCCACTGTAAAGAAACATCTTCCCTCTAATTTATGGTTAAGCAGCAGAGTGATGTATCGAGTGTTTCTTTTTCTAAAAGACAAGCCAAAGTAAAGTCATCAAGATACAAGCAAGTTTATCTAGAAAGTCCATTTACTGTTTGATGAAGTATAAATGCCAGTCTCTTCTACATGGAATCACATCTTCACATACGATATAGCTTTTAAGATCAACAAATAAAGCAAAAATCACACACAGCCAAAATTATACCCTTTGAAAAGCTCTTAGAAAGGCACCAGAATAGAACCTGGCATATTACCTTTCAATAGGTGTCAAACAGTTTTTTGCTTTGCTGTGCTTTGTGTTACTTAAGTTAAATATCAGATAAAATGTTCAAGGGCCTGACATAGTTAAAAAGTGTATCTCAAATCTCTAGGATTACAATATGAAGAGGCATGAAGGTACAGAGGCAAAGAGAGGAAACAGCATTGTAACATCTCCCAAACTGCACTGTAGGCTCTGTCAGTGAAATGCATGGGAGGAAGAAGAAGTACCCACACTATTCAAATTATTATGTCTTTCTTTCTCTTTGTCCCCCACCATCTTCCTGGATGGCAGTATCAAATCCCTGTAGATTAAATGCATATAATGAGAAGCACCTACATTATCAAGTTAGCTCTCTCCACATTAGTATGCTACTTCACACTGAAGAAAGGCAACAGGGAAATCTGTTAGAAGTCAGTGGATGTTACTGAATAGTATGAACCCAAAGTAGGGACCTCAGGACATCACCAGGTTCCATAGACAGGCTTCTGCTTTAACCTAGGCTTACTAATTATTAGGTAAGGTAGTGAAGGCTGGAGTCCCAAATTGCAAACCCTATCAGTTCATTCAAATCCTCTTCTTCCTCAACATGCTGGAGCAGCACAGCAATGACACATCAAGAAAAATCATTAAAATGTTTTAATACTTTAAAAAAAATAACTCAATAAGAAAGAGGTAAAGTATATGAGCAGGCAATCCACAGAAAAAGAAAATACATATTTCCCTTAAATGTATGATAGGATGCTAAACAGTACCATAATTAAAAAAATGCAAACTAAAACTATGCTGAGGAAAACAGCTTTTTACCAATAAGACTGACAAAGGACAAAGTCTGGCAATGCACTGTGTTGGGAAAGAGGTGGAAAACAGGTGCTCTCATACACTGCTCAAAGAGTGTTCCTTCCAAGGAAGGCAGCCTGGCTCTTGAAATTCTAAAAATACATCCCCCTCTGATGTTTCTTGGAAGAGACACACAAGAAACTGATAATACTAGTTTCCTCCAAGCTGGGGCACTGGAGGCTAAGGAAAGAAATAATGTTAAAGTATGCAAATATATTAAATACATTAATAACATTTACATTTCAAAAATAATAACGAGAGACACAAGTTTGACCCGAGATGACCATGTTGTGAAGTCCAAGCTCAGATACTGAGTACTGTGCCCCCACCCCTGGCCATCTCTCAGTCCATGACTCTTCTGCAGAACTAAAGCTTCTGAAGCAATATTCTTTCATTTGAGCAATTTTTATTGAGGGCCTACTATGTGTCAAGCACAGTTCTAGTCATCGAGATGTCAGAAGTAAACAAAACAAACAAAAACTCCTGTTGTCATGAAGCTTAAATTCTATTGAAGGAGACAGTCAATAAATGAAGTACATAAAAATAGGTGTTGTGATAGTGACAAGGGCTGAGAAGAAAAATACAAAGTAGGGAAGAGGGTGGAAGTGAGGAAGTTGGGCTGGGGAGGCTTTAGCTGGGGAGAGCAGGAAGACCTGGCTGAAGAGGATGACTTTTGAGTAAAGATCTAGAGAAAGTAAGAAAGCAAGACAGGTAGATATCCAAGCCAAAAGCATTTCACTCAAACGGAACAGCAAATGCAAAGCCCCAGAGGTAGGAATATGACTGGCATTGTCAATGAATAGCAAAGAGGCCATGTGGCTAGAGCTGAGTAAATGTGGAAGCGTGAGATGAGAAACTAGGGAATCATATCACGTGGGATCTTCAGCTTTTACTCTGAATAACATGGAAAGCCCTTGGTATGTTTGAGAAAAATACTAACAATAGGTAGCTTACATTTTAACAAAATCAATGGCTGCTGAGTGACCAACAGAATGAAAGAGGGCAAAAGGCAGACGCAGGAAGGGTTGAGATGATGGCAGCCTGTGGGATGGGGGGGGATGGTAAGAAGTGGCTGAACGCTACACATTTTGAAGATAGGCACAGCCAGATATGCTGACTGACTGAATATAGGACATGTGAGAAAAACTCAGAGCTCAGTTCCAGACATGTCACATGTTAGATGTTTACTAAACAGTAGAATGGAGATGAACAAGTGGGCTGTTGGAGTTCAAAGGAAAAGTCAGACTAGAGATACAAATTTGGTGGTGGTTTCATAATGGTGGCACTTAAAGCCCATGGGTTGGATGAGATCACTGAGGGAATGAGTGTAGACAGAAAAGAGGCCTGGGGCATGAAAGAATCACCATTTTACATCATTTTTGCCAAAAGTTCCTTTTTCTCTTCTTCTTCAATAAGTCCAGCTATAACACAAGAACCCTAAGAGAATGAACAGTTACAATCTTTAGCCATTTCACAGAATTTGGCTTTCTAGACCAACATGTGGTATAACTCCACATCTTCCCCATAATGTGGGCTGGACCTCAAAATGACTAACACTTCACACAGTGCCACTTACCTTTCAAAGTAAGCTGAGACTTCTCAAAAGGCAGGGCCACTCCTGATCGGCTGGAGCTGGCAGATGCCATGTCATCACCAGGACACTGCAAGACAAACACGGCAGTAGATTTAAAGAATATCTGGTGAGAGACTGAGGAATTGGACCCAATGTTAATATCTGAGTTTAAAGAGACAGAAGCAAGAAAATATAAACCTCAAAGCAACTGTGGCTATGCTACTTTCAGTAGAGTGGTGTGTAATGTCTGTCTTACAATGACTATTGAACTGGATGGGTCTTGAGTAGCCTAAGAAGAACACTGTTATATCAAAGTCTGGGAACAGGGGGACTTCCAGTCAAGATGGCGGCACAGGTTAACACAGTTCACCCCCTTGCACAACCACATCCAGATTACAACTAAAATATAGAACAACCATCAGAAATTTAGTTGAATAGAAGTGTGACAACTATGGAATTAAAGAAACCACATCCATCTAACTGGTAGGAAGGGCAGAGACACAGAATTGGCTGGTCTCACACCCACCTGTGGTGGATAAAAATCTGGGAGCAAGGAGGCGAACCCCACACCAGGCCCCCCAGCCCAGTGTACCAGTGCCAGGAAGACAAGTCCCATAACTTCTGGCTGCAAAAACCAGCAGGGTCTGAGTCAGTGGAACAAACCACAAGAATCCCAAGCAATTCCTCTTAAAGAATCCACACATGGACTTAATCAGGCACCAGTGGCATACAGGGAGAAACTGAAGTGTCTGGCATCAAGGTGAGAACTGGGTGACAGCTTTCTTTCAGACAGAAAGGCGGGTAAAGGCCACTGACCCTTTTCTGAACCCTTCCCCAAAGAACAGAGCCAGCAGGCTGGTGCCATATCTGAGACTCAATCAATCTGACTAACTGTTTGCCCCACCCAGGAAATCCCCAAAGACTCAATCCCACCCAATTTATAGGCCCACCCAAGCTGCTTCTCTATAACAATGGCTGCTCTTGGTTCATGCTTCACAACTTCCCAAATCCTCTCAAACAAGCAACAGTCAGCCTCATTTAGTCCTCAGCCTCCATACCTCTTGCTAAGGAGCCCCATACCCAGCACTAACAGCAATCAGCCTAAATTCACAGCTTATTTTTGCCTGGGAATCTCCAATACCAGCACAAGTATCAGCCTTCTCAGATTCTTTATAGCTCAGGCAGGGTGGCCCCAGGCAAAACACAGGTGGGGGCTGACCTTGATCTGCACCACCTGGGAAACCTCAGTGCCTGCACACCCAGGGGACAGGTATAGACCATGTCAGAACACCACCACCCTGCCCCTGTTACAGCTGATCCTGCACGGAGGGTGGAAGTTGATTGTAAGTGGTCACAGCCAATTCTTATAGCTGACTATATATCCCTCCTATTGATCTGCCAACAGCAAGCAAGGCTCAACTATAAGAGGAGGGTGTACTCGGCCCACATGAAGGGCATACCTCGAATAACCAGCTTGCGTGATAGGGGAGGCTGTGCCACTGGACACTACAGGGAAACCTACTACATTAGACCACACTACCAAGAAACAGAGTCAAAGTAGCTCTACCTATTACATTGAAACAAACACAGGGAGGCTGACAAAACTAAGAGACAAAGAAACATGGCTCAAATGAAAGAACAGATCAAAACTTCAGAAAAAGAGCCAAACAAAATGGAGATAAGCAATCTATCAGATGCAGAGTTCAAAACACAGGTTATGAGGATGCTCAAGGAACTTAATGAGGACCTCAACAGCATAAAAAAGATCCAGTCAGAAACAAAGGATACACTAATTGAAATAAAGAACAATTTACAGGACAACAACAGTAGAGGGGATGAGGCCAACATTCAATGATTTGGAACATAAGAGAAAAAAACTAATCAGAACAACAAGAAAAAGAATTTTAAAAAGTGAGGATTGTATAAGCAGTCTCTGGGACAACTTCAGTGGGTCCAATATTTGAATTGTAGGGGTGCCAGAAGAAGAAGAGAAAGAGCAAGAAATTGGAAATATATTTGAAAAAAGATAGTGAAAGAAAACTTCCCTAATTTGGTGAAGGAAATAGATGTGCAAGTCCAGGAAGCACAGAGAATCCTAAACAAGATGGATACAAAAGGGCCAATCTAAGACACATCATAACTAAAATGCCAAAGATTGAAGATACAGAGAATCTTAAAAGCAGCAAGAGAAAAGCAGTTAGTTACTGATAGGGGGGTTATCATAACACTATCAGCTGATATCTCAAGAGAAATTTTGCAGGCTGGAAAGGATTGGCAAGACATATTCAAAGTCATGAAAAGCAGGGACCTACAGCCAAGATTGCTCTACCCAGCAGAGCTATCATTTAGAATCAAAGGGCAAATAAAGAGCTTCCTAGACAAGAGAAAACTAAAGGAGTTCATCATCACCAAACCATTATTATATGAAATTGTTAAAGGGATTCATTTAAGAAAAATAAGATCAAAACTATGAACAATAAAGTGGCAAAAATACATATCTATCAACAATTGAACCTAAAAAACAAATAAAGCAAACAGAACAGAGACAGAATCATGGATACAGAGAGCATTTTGATGTTTGCCAGATGGGAGGGGGTTGGGGGAATGGGTAAACTAGTGAGGGGATAAAGAAGTACAAATAGATATAACAGAATAGCCTTGGGGATGTAAAGTACGGTATAAGAAATGAAGTAGCCAAAGAATTTATATGCATGACCCATGGAGATGAACAATGATGGGGTGATTGCCTGAGGGTGTGGGGGCCCTGGATAGAGGGGAGCAAAGGCAAAAAATCAGGACAACTGTAACAGCATAACCAATGATATATAATTTTTAAAATATAGCCACCATCCCTGTCACTCCATCTTGGCTAGAAGTCCATTTTGTGCTTTGAATGGATCTTTTTACTCATATAATTTTGTAACATTATAAACTGTCACTTGGAAAATATTAGTTCTTTGAGATATGCAGATTTCCAAATGTCATTATAAAGTAACAAATTGTGTTCGTTTCATTATACAATATCAGAAGAACCACATTTGTGAATGTTACCAGTGATCTCACCAAACAAACCTGTAAGTACTGGGAAGCTGACGGCTCCTGCTGGTAGATGTAAGTCTTTCCAAAATCCTAATTTTCACTTGAAAACTCAGTTTTATCATTGTCAGCAGACACTGTCAGTTGTTTCCCTGGAAGTGACAGGCTCACTTCATTCATTTTCAATGAAATACTGCCGAATACTCAAATCTAGCAACTTCAGTTGGTGTGTTAGTTTAAGTAAAAATGTATTTCAAAAAGAAAACAACAACAACTACTTCAGCTCTCAATTCAATCCATCATACAAATGCCTTTCCTCAACACAATCTGTACACCTCAGGATGCAATGAAAGTGCTCTAAATATATTTCCCATGTCATCACACAGAATATTAAAAAGACATGTGCTCATAGTCAGGACTTAATAAAAATGATTTATACTGCTTCATCAAGCACATTTTTTAATGAAACTGGCTTTTTTCTCTTCTTTTTGTTGAGTGTGCTGAGGCGAAGAATACGATGACAGCAGCACAGCCTGGTGGCTCTGTCCTGATTCATGCCATGGCACCAACAGTTTGACTCACCTTTGCTTTTACACCATGGTGCAAACATGAAAACAGTGAAAAAGGCAAATAAAGTTATTAGGAAAGTAGTTTTGCTGTTGCAAAACCCTAAAAATCTCAGAGGGACACCAGAGTCTGAAGACCACTCTTGAGAACTGCTGCTATAAAAATAATATGAAATTCCTATTCCATTTAACATCATTATTATCTTCTTTCATACTACTTAGATCTGATCTCTCCTCCTAACTTCTATTTTGAAGTTGTTCAGCTTTAAAACATGGTTATTAACTGACTACATTACTCGAAGAACATGAGAATTAAATGTAGCTATGGCTCAGTGAAATTGATTTTGACATTTTTCATAGATAAGAGTCGAACAATTTTTTTGCTTCAAGATGTTTGCCCTCCTCCCTCCCCACCCCCCAAAAAAGAATTTGCCTTATTATAAGATATATCCAGTCCAGGCTTCCAGCCAAGTTGGAGGTGTAGACAGATACGCTTCGCTTCCTCACACAACCAAAAGAAGGATAACAACCAATTTAAAAACAAAAAGCAACCAGAACTGCCAGAAAATCAAACTGTATGGAAGTCTGACAACCAAGGAGTTCAAGAAGAAACATTCATCCAGACTAGTAAGGGGGGGCGGAGACAGGAAGCCAGGGTGGTGAGGACGCAAGACAAGGCAGTGGCTGGCAAACTGGGAGGGTGAGGAGGCGGACCAGGATACCCCATTTGTATGTGGATAAGCCAGGAGAAACAACTAGGGAGCAAGACAGACCGCACAACCCATGGTTCCAGCATGGGAAACTAAAGCCGCAAAACCTCTGGCTGTAAAAGTCTGTGGGGTTGTGGCAGTGGGAGAAACTCCCAGTCTCACAGGAGAATCCACTGGATGGGACCAGGGGACTCTGGAACATACATAAGCTCATCTACCCAGGAATCAGCACCTAAAAGGACACAATCTGTTGGTGGGAAGCAAGGGAAGTGACTGAAAGCCAGCAGAGAGCCCAGCGAGAGGCATTGTTCCCTCTTTGACCCCTCCCCCACACACAGCACCAAAATGTAGTGAAGGGAGTTGCCCCACGCTGGAGAATACCTAGGCTCCATCCCTTACAACCTAACAGGTGCACCAAGATAAAGAAATATGGCCCAAATGAAAGAACAAGTCAAAACTCCACTAAAAGAACTAAGTGACAAGGAGATAGCCACCTATCAGATGCAGAGTTCAAAACACTGGTGATCAGAATGTTCACAGAAATAGCCAAGTACAGTTGCAAATTAGAAGAAGAAGTGAAGGCTTTACAAAGTGAAATAAAGAAAAATATACATGGAACCAACGGCAAAAAGAAGGAAACCAGGACTCAAATCAATGATTTGGAAGAAAATGAATAAATAAACATTTGACCAGAACAGAATGAAGAAACAAGAATCAAAAAAAATGAGGTGAGGCTTAGAAACCTCTGGGACAACTTTAAACACTTTAACATCTGA